AGCATGTGTTCTTAATCTTAAAGACTGTTAATCAGCATATCTGAAATTATGGCATCAGAAAAAAATGTAGTGGGCGCCTGGGTGGCTCAGTGGGTTAAGCTGCTGCCTTCGGCTCAGGTCATGATCTCAGGGTCCTGGGATCGAGTCCCACATCGGGCTCTCTGCTCAGCAAGAAGCCTGCTTCCTCCTCTCTCTCTCTCTCTCTGCCTGCCTCTCCGTCTACTTGTGATCTCTCTCTGTCAAATAAATAAATAAAATCTTAAAAAAAAAAAAAAAGAAAAAAGAAAAAATGTAGTACTTATGAGATCACAGATATCAAGGTCTATGTCAGTGACGCCAATACTGTCTAGATAAATCTGAACTTTGTATAAAAAAGACCCAGTTATAATTAAAATTTCACTTCTTTCTTATTTTTCCCCCAAGTTAGCATTAGATCTGTATTCAAAATATTTACTAATTTAAAAACTGCTGTATATTTTCCCTTGGTGAAGATCTAAATTATTAAGAAATCCAGGAGATCTTGCATATCATTCTAGATATTTAAAAATATAAAAGGAATGGATTCCATTGATCCATTCATGAAGCTTTGTCCCAACATAAGGTTCTCATTATATGATTTTATTTTTTTTTTAAGGATTTTATTTATTTATTTGACAGAGAGAGATCACAAGTAGGCAGAGAGGCAGGCAGGCAGAGAGAGAGGAGGAAGAAACAGGCTCCCTACAGAGAGAGAGGAGAAAGCAGGCTCCCTGCAGAGGACCCTGGGATCATGACCTGAGCCGAAGGCAGAGGCTTTAACCCACTGAGCCACCCAGGCGCCCCTCATAATATGATTTTAAAGAGTAAGGTATAAATAGATGAAATTATGGACAACTGGATTGAAATGAAGCGATTCAAAATGATTTCGATCTAGAAAAGAAAGGATTATTTTGAAAATATTGTAGGAAAACTGTTCATATCTAACTTATATTTTAAAAACTAATAATTAAATCATTTTTCTCTAATCTCATTTTATGATTTTGTAAAGTTATTCACAAGTTGAATTTTTGAAAATTAAATCTTTTTTATATGCAATAAATTTTCTGATTTTTAGAACTTGGTATACCATAAATAATAAGGCTACTTTGTAAATTAAGAATACTCTATAGGACATTAAAACTATCTTAAAATATGGCACACCAATATGATGAAACTACATGATACATTTATAGACAACAAACATTTTCTGAACATTAATGCACCAATGGGGGGATTGTTTTTCACTTCATAGTAAGAATTAATCATGATAAATGATAGATTTAAAAAGTATCAGTGTTTAGTGAGGATTTCCTAGGATGTTGCATATTACCTGTTAAATGTGTTGTAACATTTTAAAATAATTCAAAATGTACTTTGTGGCTTATTCTTAGCTTAGATGTCTCTTAAGTGTAATGTGACATACAGATGAGAAAACTTGTTCTGAAGACTCCTTCCTTCAGCTTAACAAAAGCCACCCATTTTACAGATGATTTAACTTTGATTAACCTACTCCGTTGTAACAGATTATTCCGACAACTGGAATTTCATTCTTTGGTGTTATTTCTAGGTGCAGCTTAATTTACAGAGCAGCTTTTCTTTCCATCTCACCAAAATACATCACAATTTTGATGTTAACTCAAAGTAAAAATTCAATGGCTCATTAAACCTAGTCTTAGCGTTCATTGACAAGAGATTTGTCATTTTAAAAGTAACTGCTACTTTTATGCATTCTTTACTGCTCAGTTTATAACCTTAGATTCCCTGTCAGAGAAAGCATGGAGTTAACCACTTAGCATATTGCAATGAATATTCATCAATAAATTGATGTGACATGGCAGTCTCATTTTTCAGTCTTCCTGCTCTGTTGCATTCTTTTTCTGTTTTAAATACATTATAGTTTATCATGTAATAAGGACTAGCTTAGAAAATCTTAAGAATTATAATACTATATTTTTGATCGTGTCAGTAGTCCTTTAGCAACTATCATAGTAGTTTTTAAAAAGAGAAGTGTATTTGTTCAGAGAAACATTCTCTGGTCTGATGTTACTGATGGGCATTTTTACCAAATATTTGACATATATGATAATTGTTTAAGACCAACTTCATAATAAAAATACAGTGTTTTGTAGTTTTTAAGAAGAGCAGATGATTTGGGTTTTTGTTCCTTGAAATTTTATTTAGCTTAATCTTTTGACCTGTCATAGTTTTTAAATCAGTTTTTCATCCATGTAGAAAGAGAGGTATGTACATTAACTCTAAAACAAAATCCTGAAAACATGTATCTAAATAGTTGATAACTCCTTATTCAGCCACAACGAAACCGATCTATGTGGGCAGATAGGCATAGCAAATGCCATGTAAGAGGCAGATATAGATCACTGTCTAGCATACTTCATCTACATTTTAAATTTTAGAAGGAAAAGATGGTCTATAAACAAGATCTTTTCTGTTAAATATGTAGATTATGAGGTCACTTAGCACTAAAGTACTGACCATATGCATTATGACAGGTATTTGACACCTGTCATTGGAAATAGTACTTAGAAGCCGTATAATGCAACAAAGTTGAGGGAGGAAAATACAATGTGGATAGGAGGCTGTAATTTATAATTCACAGTGCTCAAGAATGACCTGTCCAGGGTGTCTCAAAATCCCTCTCCTTGATTTTAGGATTTACATACCATAAACCCTGCTAGTAAACAAAACTGGTTAGGATAACTGATAGTCAGAAAATGGAAATATATATATTATATATATAATGCATATATATAATATAATATATATGTAATATATATATATACACTCAAACTTAAGTTTTAATTTAAGTAAATATATCATTATTCTAAAAGTCAACTTCTGAGTTAAGTGTAATTAAACTGTTTTGTTACATTATACCTACAGGTGACTTTATGGTAGAATTTCATCATGTTTGAGCAGCACAGTGTAGAATTGTCACCAGTTATACTGTTTTCAGATTAATAATCTGTTGTATATGAGAATTCATCTAAAAGGAGTACTATCTTTCTGTTTTTCTTTGTGATTATTTTGCCCCCCAAAAAAGTTTTCATTTTTTTAAGTAGCACAAAAGCTGTAATTGTCATGCTTTGTAAGGAAGTGTCAATGTGCAAGAGAGTGGCGATCACTAAGAATTCTTTTACGTGTTCTTTCCCCTTTGCACCACCGCCTCCTCAGCGGGGTCACTGAGATCACTAGCTTTTCTTGAAATGGCCATTTTCACTGGCAGGTGCATTATACCCTGTATTTTCAGATTGTTTTTCCATTCTGAATGTTTGGCAGGTTGATTGCTCTGGCTGCATTGACGGAGAAAGGGCTGACAAATGCGGTTGGGCTGGCTGAAAAGACAGTGATTACTGTTTTCCTTTGTGGCTGATTGAGGCCCTTGAAAGGAAAAATTTTAACCTTCACCATTTGGTTCAAAAGTATGAGCATATATTGAAATCATTCGTGCCATTTATCCTAGTTCTGTAAACTTGTCAGAACGTAAAAATCGCTCAATTTCAAGTAATGTAGGATTGGCATACGTCATTATCATTTTGATTAAGTTGGAGGTTGTATCATTGTGTGCATTATACAGTGTCATTTAAAGCTTTCTTTCCTACAGGTACAGTTATATTTTTATTGCTAATACTATAGACTTAGAAAGATTTTCATAGCTCTCCAAACCTAACACTATGTGTGTGGTTTGGCAGCTGGTGTGGCCTACGAGCTGCATTTTGTTTGCAGGGTAAAGGCTTATCTGGAGGCCTCCTGGAGTGTGGGTAATTGCACAGGCTCACCATTGGGGAGAGACGGGATTGGAAGCAGCCGAGCGGAAGAATGTTGTGCCATCCTTTTGCCACCTTGTAGCAGAAAGACACAATCCCAGCAGTGCCATCTGGTTATTGCTATCTAGTCAGCTGGCCTGGCTGCTGGGACCATGACTTGGCAGCTGGTTCCCATCCTTGACCATTCTTTTGTGTACGGAGTATGTATGTGTGCTTTAGATAATTTTGAACATGGGTCGGGGAAATGACTATAAATAACAAGTCCCCTTATTGAATAGGCCCTCATTACTTAAGATGCACTCTGCTGCAGACGCCTGCTGCCATTCCCTTATAGACAAATGACACATCTGTTCAGGCAATAAAAAGAAGCATTTTCTTCATAAAAATCTGTCTCAGTACATAGTAAGAGAGAAGGTATGCAGAGTTGTATGTTCTACAACATTTTAAAGTAAGTGAGTTTAAGTTCTTGGTTTGGAGAGGAGATTTAGTAATAAAGTCTTCTTATAAACACTGTATATTATCTCAATATGTATTTTTGTTCCAAGTTAAGAAAACATGATTTTAAGCGCTTATTGCCACATCATGCAACAATAGATAATGAGACTTGCATTTAAAATGACAGAATAGAAAATGTGGTCTCATAGCTATTATCTTTAAAATCTGCCTCTCAAATAGCAACCTGAGAGTTAATGTAAGCCGTCTTTATGCCATATGAAGACCCATTAGACACTGATGGTTTCAGATCACAAGTAAGCAGCCAGCTCTGTAGGCTATTTTAGACATTTGATTTTCTTCATTCCACAGCATTAATGTGTCAGCATGCTACATAAAACTATGCAGGAGTTGCGTGTTGTTCTGTCTGGAATGATAAATGCTTGCAAGCTTTTAGAGATTTCCATGAGGAATTTGTCCTAGTTGCTTATATATCTTATTTCAGTTTATGTAGCTACAAAATTTGGAATGACTGTTAGAGGTACCACATAGGTATGTAAAACACCCAGAAGTTCCACTGATTTCTTTAAAATTGTGTTGATGAAATTGCTATTATTCTTACTTGTTCTGTCTTGCCAGCGGTTTACTTTTGCATTCATGTATAGTTAGTTGTACACCTTCTGAACTGTTGCTTGAAAGTTCGGTTATTTTCATAAAAGTAATTTTTGTGTTTTTCTGTTTTTGGTTTTTTTTTTTTTTTTTCAGATGAAGAGGAAGAAGATGACGTAGTGACTCCTAAACCCCCTACTGAACCTGAAGAAGAGAAAACTTTAAAGAAAGATGAAGAAAATGATAGTAAAGGTACCTTAAAGAATTAACTTACAAAAATTTTGTTGATTCTTATTAAAATTTTTTTTTATTATTTATGTGTTAAAGTAGAGTAGAATCCTCTAAATCAAAGAGGTGAATCTGGTTGAAAAAAATATGTGCCATTCATCGATCCAAACTGTGATAGTGAGTTGACATGATTTGACGGACATAAATTAGACTGAATTCAGGAAAATATTTGTTTTCCAGCTCCCCCTCATGAGCTGACTGAAGAAGAAAAGCAACAAATCTTACATTCGGAGGAATTTTTAAGTTTCTTTGACCATTCTACAAGAATTGTAGAGAGAGCGCTTTCTGAGCAGATTAATATCTTCTTTGACTACAGCGGAAGGGATTTGGAAGACAAAGAAGGGTAATGTTTAATGGCTAAAATTATGGCTTCAGCAATGTTACTTTAAGTTACTTAAGTTACTTTCCGATCAAGAGTGATAAGTTATAACATCATTCTTTTTTTGGATTTGGTCTTTTTCTGTAGAGAGATTCAAGCAGGTGCTAAACTGTCATTAAATCGGCAATTTTTTGATGAACGTTGGTCAAAGCATCGTGTTGTTAGCTGTTTGGATTGGTCATCTCAGGTAAACTGTGACAAAATTGGTTACTCATTTTTTAATTAAAATTAATAGGTACTCTTAATTATGGAAACTTTGTGTAATTAAATCAGTATATATCATTTAGAGTAATAATGGATGATGGTTCTAATGTTATTGTATTTATTTTATATATTTGGAAGAAAGGATTGGAACCATCCTTTAATTTAAACTCAAGATTGAATTTATGCCACAACCCAGGTTCGTTAATTTCAGTTGCTCACCACATCCTTTGGTTAAAATTGCAGTGTGTTTTAATGTTAAAACATTTTAAATAATTAACTACGGTAACTACATCCCAGTAATCATAACTCTCGTGATACATTTCTCGTGATACATTGCTTGGGGAAATGTTAAATATTTATATTTTCAAATAATCTGGTAAAGACCGTTGAGTCACTGAGAATGTGAAACATTTCTTATGCATAGCAATTTTTCCCTACTTGATTCTTGTGAACAGTATCCAGAGCTACTCGTGGCTTCCTATAATAACAATGAAGATGCTCCTCATGAACCTGATGGTGTGGCCCTGGTGTGGAATATGAAATACAAAAAAACTACCCCAGAATATGTGTTTCACTGCCAGGTAAGATGTCTTTTAACCGTCTTCCCTAAGTTTAAGAATTCATTAATGAATTTAGACAAGTGCCTTTTTTCTTTTCTTGTCAACATAATGATTTCATTGGATTGGCATTTACTAAACCACCTCATATTTGCAAACAGATGTTAACAAAACTGAAGACTTTTCAGTTCAACGCGATCTGCCTTTTGTGGCTTTTCTGACATCTCTTATGTTTAATCACACCTAAAGTCCTTTGCATTTGTGATTTTCTGTTATTATGATTGATTATATAAAAGGAATCTTTTGTAAAGTGTCTTTTCTACAGGGAGTTTCTCATGAACTTATATGCTGAATATACAGTTAGACAGTTGGCCCACTGAATTACTTACACATGGCCTGAGGAGTTGGAACTAGATAGTTTTATTTTTTTAATTTTTTTGGAACTAGATGGTTTTCAATAGAAACGTACGTTTGAAGTAGGAAACAGATGCAGATTTTTAAAGTGAGTTTAGTGGAAGGTTAGAATTTGCAAGCCTTTTCTAGTTGCATAAGTTACAATCTTTTTATTAAAAGATTCTCATAATTCTGAGAAAAATGCTTAACTGAATCAAAACTAGCTTATACTCTGTTGTCACATTACTGTTAGAGCCAGTTGTCTTTTGATTTAATACTGTAATCAAATGAAATAATTTTTAACTTTCTTTATAAATGGTTCAAATACATTTATGTAAACATTGCATTTGACTTAAGCAAAAACTATTCTAAAGGTGTACTTTTATATTATGAAATAAAATGAAAATTTTAAACAAATTAATTTACTTCTTTTTATAACCTCTAATACCTTACACTAAAAGGGAAAATGTTTGCATATAGATTTGTTTTCATAACTTATCAGGCTTCTTCCATTTGAACCTTAAATATAAAAATCTTACTTATTTACAGTCAGCTGTGATGTCTGCTACATTTGCAAAATTTCATCCAAACCTGGTTGTTGGTGGTACATACTCAGGCCAAATTGTCCTGTGGGATAACCGCAGCAATAAAAGAACTCCGGTGCAGAGAACTCCGCTGTCAGCTGCTGCACACACAGTAAGTAGTAAAGAGATTATTTCCATTAGACTTCTGTGCTGGTTCACCATTAAATACTTAGTAGTGTCTGTCAGAGTAGTCTCAGAATGTGTTTCCTTTGATGTATGAATTCTTCATCAGTTGGCCACCAAGAATGAAGACCTTTTTTTATTGTTGTCTTTTTAGAAATCTGTTTTATTAAAAACTCATCTATCTTCTGAGACAAGCTTTTATTAATCAACAGAATGGCATCAAACTTCACATTAAAAACACCATCAAGATATGAGAGTGTTTTGATGTGAAACAGAATACTTGTGATTATAGTGTAAAAGTGGTTCCATTTTTTTGGCAAAATAATCCCAAAAAACTTCTTTTAATATCTCTTTCTTTAGCATCCTGTATATTGTGTAAATGTTGTTGGAACACAAAATGCTCACAATCTGATTAGCATATCTACTGATGGAAAAATTTGTTCATGGAGTCTGGATATGCTTTCCCATCCACAGGTAAACTTGGAAAACTGAAATTTTGAGACAAAATTTTTATTTTTTAAGTCCATGTAAATCTAAGCTTATGTTTTTTCATAAATGTTTATAATAGTATTATGATAACAGCCTATGAGCCTAACTGGTTAGGTATACTTTGTCATGATATACTTTATTTTCAAACCTACTTCATTTAATCAAAGTAAATTTGTATAAGTATTATAATAAAATAATTGTTTATAAACCGATTAAAACTGAAACTGTTTCTAATAAAATTAAAAGTTGCAATTTTATAAAATAATTTCCTTAATTTTTTCTACATAGGATAGCATGGAATTGGTTCATAAACAGTCAAAGGCAGTAGCTGTGACATCTATGTCCTTCCCTGTTGGAGATGTCAACAACTTTGTTGTTGGAAGTGAAGAAGGTTCTGTGTACACAGCATGCCGCCATGGCAGGTAAATCTAAACTGGAATTTGCAATTATTTAAATTTCTCCCTTTAATAGTCTCATTAAAACAAATTGCCCCTTGTTTAAGTAGAGATTTGTCATAGAGCCACTCATTATTTTTTGACAAATTGTATTTGAGTTCAGGTATATAAAATTAAAACTTAAATACTGTTTCAAATAAAAGGTTACTTTGGATCATGATATGTTCTGGATCTTACGGGTTGTGGTATGTTATGGTTTTGTATGTATGCAGTTACAAATATAATATGCACATGCCACATACTGACCCTTAAAGTTGTAAATAAGATTTTCATTTGTTTTTCCATTTTGATATATTTGGACTTTGAGCTTTAGTTCATCCTGCTGATAATTTTGTAGTAATGTCACGTACACATTTTAAATTGACTAGTATTTCTCCTGCTGTTCAATCTGTTTTGAAATTGTCTAGCTGTACCTTATCAATTGCTTCCTTAAAAAAAAATGTAGTGTCCAGATTTCATCTCAAATACAGATCACCTTCATGTCAAAGCTTTTGATATAAAATTAGTAGCCCGAATTTTTTCTCTTACAGATAGCCTCCCTTTCTCTCTATTCCATCACCTCAGATAACTGGACTTGTGAGTTGTATTGTCAAGACCATGTTTATAGTTCAAAATGTATTTACTGTTTTAGTAGTGTTATCAAATCTGGATTGAGCAACATTCAACATAAGTTACTCTGATGTGTTATGAGCAGAGTTAGGTTTGTTGAAATTATGTCAAAATCTGATATGTATAATCCTTAATAAAATGTATTTATAAGCAGTCTACTTCCAAGAGAGTTCCCTAATATTTTCACTTTTATGAAATAGCAAAGCTGGAATCAGTGAGATGTTTGAGGGACATCAAGGACCAATCACTGGTATCCATTGTCATGCAGCTGTTGGAGCAGTGGACTTCTCACATCTTTTTGTCACTTCATCATTTGACTGGACAGTAAAACTTTGGACAACTAAGGTATCTAAAAACAGATGTCTGCTCATTTCCTTGGGTTTCTGACACAAGGTGGTGCTCTAATTCTACACGGGAAAGACAGAAAGCTTTCTAATAGCTTAGAATGATTCACTGATAGATAAAACCTGATAAGAAGTTATACTGAACGTGAGTGAGCCACTGGGTGTTGTAGTTTTCACAAAAGTGTGAAAAAAAGTGTTAACCTCACACATAACCAAAGACCAGTCTTCTCAGTTCAGACTTTTCGAGCACAGTACTGTTTACTCTGAACTGAGTAGAGGAAAAAAGCATGCGAGTATCTCTCATAGCACCATTCATAGCTGTGTATAGTCCAGTACAAAAGCCATACATTTGCTCTTGGAAGAGCTTTTAGAGGCTGCAGTGGCTCACAGAGCTGGTGGAAAATGGAAAAAAGGCAGGTAACAGATGTACAATAAGTCCTATACAATAAGGCTATAATAACAAACTTAAATCAGTAAGGAAATGTTGTATAAAGGCATATATATTTTTGTTTTCCGCAATAAAAAATTTAAATAGTTTGTTTACTTTTTAATTAGCTTCAGTTATTTGAAAAACCCACTGTGTTATAAAGTGATTCCTGATCGTCCAGCAATTCCAGATAAATGTGACATTGCCCTGTTCCATTGAAAGTCTCAAGGCCAATCTAAGTAGGGAACGTTACTTCTTGTGATAGGCCTTGTAATTTCGTTTGAGAGCATATTAAATTTTGAAGCCTTGACTTTTCTGTCTGGCTTTTCTCCAGTATTACATTGTAGTTGGCCAAGCTGCATGATCAGAACATCAGATTCTATTTAAACAAAGTTAAATTTTAAGCTATACTTTTTCATTTTCATTTTTCACTTATTGTTTCTATTTGCCTTATTCTAAATGTTGATGTTTTGAATAGTTTATCATGAGACAGAATTTAGAGACTCTATTTGGTTCTTCAACTCCTTTGAGGAAACCTAGTGGTCTTAAGAAATGTTCTTTACTGTTACAGTGAACCTGTATTTATATATCAAAAGCTGGCCTCAGAAATCTGGGATGGACTTACTCACTTTTTTCTTCGTGGTGCTTTTTTTCAATGTAATATGAAGTGGGTTAGAAAACTTTGCCTCTAAAAGCTTGCCTTTTAAATTTGAGCATTTTCATGTTTGGCATTAGTGAGCATAAAAATAGCACTTAAGGCTAATGAAGGAAATATATAGAAAAGTGCTTAACACAGTGTCTAACATGTAATAGGCACTTAGCAATGTTCAGTTCCTCTTTCATGGGGTTCAGACAGAGCCCTGAATGCATTTAATCAATCATCTGTTCTCTTTCTTGGGTTGTTCTTGAATTTTTGTTTTTTCAAGGAGAGTTTTCAGTGGAAAAAGGTAGAGGAAGAAGATTCTTACAACCACAAGCAGAGAAATGTGTAATCTCGCTAGTACAACCAAAGCAAGGTGTAGAATAGGAGAGGTGAAGCCGACTATATCTGCATAGGCCGCAGGTAGCCACATAGAAGTTACTATATTTCTGGATGTGCTACACCTTAGTAGTTCTTTATATAAAAACACAGGAGACATATCTTTGTTAGATTGTTGGCCAGCTTCCTTTTTCAGTATTTGGAAAGAATCTTTTATAAATTTGTAGATTTATTTTAATAGGGCTTCAGTTGCCAGTCTTTTAGCTTTAAATTTGAGGCTTCCACCCTTGCATATATTACCAGCAGGACTGGAAAATGAAGAATTCCTCTTCATTGCCTAAATAAGAACAGAACTTATGTCTGTGATAGCAGACTGATTGATGCTTGCTTTTGTGGTACTCACACAGCTGGTTGATTGGTGGTTGGTATTTTTTGTTCTTGTATTTTGCTGTATTTCAACATAGAACTGCCTTCTGAATAAGAATGGCAGCCAGGCATATCTCTTTCTTTGCCTATTGAGCTAGGCATTGCTTCCTTCTGTGAGCTTCACTTATTCATTCAACTGTGATACATATGTCTCTCCCACCCCACACACATACACAACTACATACCTCTCCAGTGTTAGTGGTCAAAGGATGAGCCAACGTAGAACAGAGTGTTTTTATACATATTTAAGGGCCCTCTAAAACTTTATCAGAAGAACTGCCTTTTATTCTAACTTTTCTGCACATAAATAATTCTCTGTGAAAGCTAGAACAGCAACAATCTGCTGAGTAAATATTTTTTTTAGTTGGTTATATCATGGCTTCCAGTGTCATTGTTTTGATCTTGGATTTATGTTTCGTGGTACTTGTGTTGGTGGTATTTATTTCTACTCTGCCAAAAATCTTGAGTCTCTGTGCTCTCTAACACAATGGTTATGAGTAATAGGCAAGGTGATTTTTTTTTTTTTTTGGTCTTTTTTATGGGTTGTGTGTGTGTGTGTTTTGTGTGTGTTTTTTAAAAAGATTTTATTTGTTTATTTGATAGGAGAGAGGTCACAAGTAGGCAGGGAGGCAGGCAGAGAGAGGGGGAAGCAGGCTCCCTGCTGAGCAGAGAGCCCGATGCGGGGCTCGATCCCAGGACCCTGGGATCATGACCTGAGCCGAAGGCGGAGGCTTTAACCCACTGAGCCACCCAGGTGCCTCTGTGTTTTGTTTTGTGTTTTTGTTTTTGTTTTTGTTTTTTAATTTATTTCAGAGAGCGGGGGGCAGGGGTGGTGGGCAGAAGGAGAGGGACAGAGAGAGTCTCTAGCAGATTCCTGCTGACCATGGAGCCTGACACAGGGCTCTATCTCATGACCCTGATATCATGACCTGAGCTGAATCCAAGAGTCAGTCTTTCAACTGAGTGCGGTACCCAGGTGCCCCAGTAGACAAGGTTTTAAAATAATCTCTTTAAAAACATTGTTTCAATTCCATTTTAAGCTTTTTAAACCAGTATCTTGCATTCGTGAATTTAACAGACTTTAAATGTTTTCCTTCTCAGCCTCTGCTTTTTTTAAGGGTTTTCTGACTCTGGGAATTGAGTCCCCATAAAGTGGAAGGAACGAGTTACTAAAAATTGCTATATCTTTGTGTCCTTTAAGATCTGGCTCTTCCCTAATAGCAAAACAAGATTTCTCGTTTTTTCTCCTTTTTAATAAGTCCTCTAAAAAACCCAGAGATCTCAGTTTGACACTGCCTCAAATTTAAAATGATCTACTTCTATAGTCAGCTTCTAATTTTTGCCTAGTCAGGAATTTATAATGCAGCAACAGAGTTCTGGGTCATCAAATTGTTTTCAAGACTTTTTTAAACTCAGTTATTTTTAGTAAAGAATATAAACAGAGGTAGAGGATTTTCCACATTTTTCTTAAGTTTATACCAACCAAGACATTACTTTTAATATATTTGGAGGACACTATTACCTTTTCAAAATGCCAAATTTGAAAGTCATGACAGAAGTACTTTGGCAGCCCTGAAAAACAGTAGGAAGAATGTGGGAGCAGTGAAACTACTGGAAGGTAAACAGGATTTTATTAAGAACTTGATTAGGGGTAGACCTGGTAAATTAGCTTAATGTTCTACCACATTTAACCATACTTGTTACAAATTACTTTTAAAAATATAAGGATTGTTTATTTGGGGCCAAAATATTTCCATGTAAGCACAGTGTATTCTAATGTCAGAACATTGCCTGTCAGAATTGTATTACCATTAAGTGTCAAGGTTAAAATCATTCATGGGATAATTTCTTCGAGTAGGTAGTTTTCAGACTTCAGTAGTCCATACACACCTTAAATTTTTTCACAATCTCTGATGTCTTAAATTCTCTTTTATATTTTAACGGCTTCATTATTTAACTCTCAGAGAACACCACCATTTAAAATGAGGTTGAAGAGACATTCCTAATGCTTGGAATAGCAACTGTGCACATATTAGACAAGTTCAAACAAAAAAATGCTTCGAATTTGGAGTGTTTCTTGGGGAAGGCTCTCTGACCGTTGAGACCCAATCCTCCATGGTAGCATTTACTATAGTAACCTGCCACTGGCCAGTGTCCAGCCTGTTCTTTCCTAATTCAGAAACTTAGTCTTGTCAGTCTACTAGAGTTGATTAGCTAGGGAGTGCTGACTGAACTAACAGGCTTCCAAGACACTGATAGGGAGAGGGTCAATTTATTAATTTAATAATGAGAAACTGCCAGAAGGCCCAGATACTCATGCTGGCCTGACCAGCTCATTGTTTCTCTGTAGACAACCCACGTGGGAAGCCAAATTATAATCAGAAGATTGCTTGGTGAGCAAGGAATTGGAACAAAGGAAGTTTTCTAATTTGAATGTTGAATGGCATCAAGCGAAGATAGTGTGATTCATTCATTTTCACATGGAGATAGCCTTGCCATGGATGGTAATTCTTAGAATCCTTTGGCTGAGACTCTCTCCTGGACAATGTTTGAATTGAGTACTATCTTCTGCTTCTTTGTATTTCCTTTGCTTTTAATAGACACATTCCTTCTCAAAAAGGTCATATCTCAGTCAAGTTATATAGGAAGATATTTCTGACCTTGGAATTATTTCTTTTTAAAGAGATTCTGTTGGGGCGACTGGGTGGCTTAGTCAGTTAAGCATCTGCCTTTGGCTCTGCTCATGGGATCGAGCCCCACATCTGGCTCCCTGCTCAGTGGAGAACCTGCTTCTCCCTCTCCCTCTTCTCTTCCCTTTGCTTGTGCTCTCTCTGTCTCTCTCTCTCAAATAAATAAAATCTTTTTTAAAAAGACATAAATAAGTTTAATTTGCATATAACTTCATATTTTATAAAAATGGAATCATATAATATTTACATATTTGTGGCTGGCTGTTTTTGCTTATTAACATTATGTTTGTGAGATTCATTGATTGTTCTCTCAGTTGTATACTATTCCAATATGTAAGTATACCACAGTTTATCCGTTCTACTGCTGATGGTATTTGGGTTTGCTCCAGTGTGGGCTGTTAAAGAGTAGTGCTGCTACTGGCATTGTTTATACTTCTTTAAAGAAAAAATTTTCCTCACGAATCACTTGTAGATGTCTT